GTCCTTAGTATTTTCTATTAACGTAGTTCTTCCTCATTTCTTCGCGGGATACTGGTTACGGACACCGGCGGGGGCGGCACCGGACAGCTACGGTGCCAAAAATGACCCTGGTTGTGATCTCTTAACAGCTTTCGCCCTATAAAATTAATAGGGCCCATGATGCTGCATTCAGAAATTGCTTACTTCCTACCATTACCTGTGGGAAGACGGAGACATGTGGTGGCCGTTGTGAGAGCCACGTCATTGCTTCATTACGTTAACGAAAACTAACAGACAAGAAAGTTGGAGAAAGCTATAAAAGTGTTGTCTGAAGCGATGATTTATATTACTGCTAATAATATCCCCTATATGTACCCCTTGGTATTATTGTCTATCGGTTCTGTGAATGTTTTGTTTAACAAAGATAAACAAATCCTTCAAATTTCCCTTCTTTCACTCAGTCATTGCTTCATTGCTATTTGCTTCATTACAATCGCTTCGTTAATATTACAAGTCGGATTTTATTCAAACCAGCGATGATGTGCAGTAAATGAGAAGCGGGAGGGGGTGCTTCGGCTAAACTTGACCTCCTTACGAAGAACACTCAGTACGCCTATTCCTTTTTTTTAATATTCAAGGAGGAATTCAAACGGACGCGCCAGTTTCATATCCTGCCTTTAAGCTATATGCTGTACCTTACAATATTGCTGACCTACTCAGCTGCAGCTGTTGGTACCCTCGGTAGCGGACGGACCTGCTCGTAGCGCCTTTCTGGTGATGGCGTATTCACGCACGAATGGCTTGGAACTCGCCTTATCTTTAGCAGACGCGTCAATGTAACGTCAGTGGCGCAAGTACTATTATGTGGCGCTTTACGTCCTAAAACCGCGGTATCATTTTGAGAGAGCGCTATGTAGTAGAGGGCTCCGTAAATTCGACCATGTATTGTCCCTTAGCCTGTACCGACATCACGCAAGTACACGGGCCTCTACCACCTCGCCTCCATCGAAATTCGACCGACATAACCGGGATCGAACCAGCGACCTTTCGGGTTTTTTTCGGTGTAGCCATAGGCGCGCGCATTCTTCTTTGCACTAGTGGGAAGTCAAGCCTTTACCGCAGCGTATCGCCTTCGCAGGATGCGAAAAACTATAGTCCTGCGACTGGTTGCTGCAGCTTTTCAGGTTAAAGTTATGAAGTAGAAAACATTTCTTTGAATCCAACATCAGAGCCCTATGAACCTTGTTATCGTAAAACAATAAATAAAGTGCTGTGATCTGCAACAGATGGTTAACCAGCGAAGCTGGATGATAATGCGGTCTGGATGTTCGCGACTTAATCCTGATCGTTCATTAAATTCTTTCTAAATAATTACATACGGCTGCCCAGAAATGTTCACTGATGTTTGCAGCCTGCTTGTTGTCTCTATTTCATGCGCATCAGTCGTGAGTAGTGCTGCTTTCCCCAATTCTTCCAGCAGGTGCGTCCTGTTTCTGCGCGCACATGTAGGGCGGAAAAGCTTCGCTACAAATGAAGTGTTTTACCAAGTACGCAAAGGGCCAGTAAGGTCAGTCATACAAGCGAAACGCGTGTATTTTATGGCACTACTATAAACAAACTTTCACAAAAATTAATCGCAGTGGACTTGAACCTTAAGCCGTTCAGACGGTATATGTGCAGAATCATGGGTGCCGCTTGTTTTTGCTATATCAACTAGCGCCTACAAAAGGGCATGATATATCAAGATTCGAATGAATTGAGCCCCGTACCTAATAAGTTTGCATACATTTAACTTCACTTTGCAATGCGCTTGTTGCATATGGTCACTTTGTTGAGGGCACTGCCACGTTCAACGAGTCGTTCGACGGGTCGCTTGCTGCGAGCTATAGGAGAAAAAGTGCAGTTTTTATTCGTTCAAAATGAACATAACCGAAAAAAATTGATTCTCGCCATACTTCTGGACCGATATTTTATTCTATTTATGTCCAAACAGAGCATGAATGACTTCAGAATAAGTGGACATTTAATTGCATTTACTTAGGATTACTTGTCACTGCACACACATATTTACATCAGTGGGCTGCACATGACCCATGTGCTCGACGCCCATATCGGCTACATCCAACATGAAAAAAAAAAGATGACAGAGGTGCGTGCATGTTTCGTGTTCATGAGCAAGTGAGCGCATGGCTTTCTGACGCGGTTCCGTGCCCCCTCTCAATTTAGAGAGGGCGCTGGCGTTGCGTCAAGAATTCAGTGCGCTGCAATGAGTACGTGTGGACAGGCCTTAATGATGACTATTACGTCATCATGACGTGCTGCATCGGCTGAAGCGTGTTGACGGGAGGAAAATAAGAAGGTCATTGTCGAGTCCCTTTCGAGAGTGTGAATGCCGCGAGGTGCGGCATTAACACTCGATCAATCGTGCTTGATTGCTCACGAGAACTTCAATACGTGTATAAAATACGTTCAAGCCGTATTCGCTGTTGGTATTTTGGAGATCATATACGCGTACTCATGAGAATCGATGCCACAGGCTACCTCGCCCAGGATATTTTGTGTCCGTGCCCCTTGAAAGACATTTTTCTCTGAGCACCGGAACGTTTGCGCACTTGATGGAGCCGATAGCAACCATGCCGCTTCTTTCAGTCGGGACCTCCGATATCCACCATGTGCAGTGCGACTGAGCCCAATGTTATTCCTAGGAATGCACAAAGGCACCTGAATTATGAGGTGTGAGAGCCACTGCCAGGCGCCGACGTCAACTTGTGGGTGCTTAGTGCCTCTCAGAAAATTACCATGCGGGAAGCTTTCGAAATTTCCCGCGTATGCATGCTCATTCCATATCTTCGTTTCGCCTATGTACAGAGCGTGGTCATGTAAGCGTTTTTGTTCCGAAAGAAAGAGAATAATGGACAGTATCAAGAAAGGAGGCTTTCCCTGTACACGGATGCTTCGAAGACATTATGCTTCCGCCAGAGATATGCGAAAGCAAGCGACTAAGATACTCCAACGTTTTCTACGAGATACAGGATTAAGCGATGTATGGTGAGCGAAACTACATGAAAAGAGTCGCTCAAGCGGCAAAATCGCCTTCCAAGTGTGCCAGGCTAACCCCGCCTGGGGCAACATCACCCCACCAACTGTGACAGTGCTGGACAGTATTAAAAATACGTTTATCTGAGATTATATCTTAGATACTTTTTGGGTATCTTGTATCTCGATCCTGATGCGTCATGCGAGACAAGTACCTGTATCTGTATTTCCGTTACATTCGATAATGAATCGTGTACCTGAAGATACTAGATACTGCAGTAGCAATGCTATACCATGCAAAACATTTGTCGCTGACGGAACTCCGGTGCTCAGGTTGGTACTAGGGCCCCTAAACCACCTGATTAAAGCTAAGAGCGGTGACATCATTTTATATTTTCGTCCGAGTCCACCAGTCAGAGCAGGCGATGACATGTGCGTGTTCCTTTCAGTGAAGCAGAATAACACGACAGAGCTCGTGTGGTCTCGACAGAAACTACGTTCGTGTGCTTGCCCACTTGCCGCTTGTTTTCAAAATCTATTTTTTTTTTACTTGTGTCAGAACCATGACACTTACCCTTAGACACTTGCAAGCGCTGCGCACCAGGGTGCGTGCGGCGATGACCACACAAATTCTGATACCGCTCTCCAGTGTTGAACTATTTACTCCCTGGTACTGATGCGACATATAGTAGAACAAGCCCCTACCTATCAAACAATATCTCGGCATACCATGCCACTTTCTTTCTGCTGTTCCTATTCAAAGAGCTCTTGAAATGGTTATATGATTGTTAGAACAAGTGCTTTCGATTTGTGCAACTATGCTGCCATGCACTCTGGTTTTTTTTGTTATGTTTTGATCGGGGCTAAATCACACACAAGAAGTTTATGACCACTCGGCCCTAGCAGCCCTCAAAGCATTTTAAACTTTGAGATTGTTCCAGATTGCGGTGTTAAGGATTACACACAAATTGTGCTGCTGCAGCCACATGTCGATGGAGGTGAAATCCTGAGGGCACATGTATGTACATAGATTTGATTACACGTTCAAGATCACCACATAGCGAAATTTTCGGAGCCCTACAGTTCTTTGCTCTTGATAACTAAATCGTATACGCTTAGGACGTAAAAACTGAATAGTGATTAGTGCAATTACGCGGAGTACGCGTACTCTTATTATTTCGCAAGCTTACGCGTGCGTCAGTTATAACGCTGCAAGGTGCGATCACTGCTTTAAATACAGGACCCCTTCTGCCGATGATCAGATTAGCGAAGGCCAACGACACTTACTGCTGCTATCATATTACTAAGTGTTTTGGTTGCGCTTTGAGTTAGTTTTTGCGGTACAAGTTAGCTAATTAGTGAGTTTCACTTGTAGTAGAAGAGGGGAAGTCGCTTCCATTATGGTCACCAGCACGGGACAATACAATAGGTCTGAGGTTTTTCTGAGGTGCAATGCCACCTCGCTCAAAAAAAATATTGCACGTAACTGGGCACATAAGCAACGAACGCTTTACGCCGGCCAGTAAGAAGAATAAGAAAAATAATAGCAGCTTTGTGCGCTCCACAGGCTTGCCTATATACACACTGTTCTTCAAAAATGTCGCTACCGGCGTTGTTGCTACTGTACACTAGTGATTCGGTATTGCAAAGCAGTCGTTTATGAACAACCTGCAACTGCACATCACTATTTTCGCCATCGTGCAAAGATATTTATTTGAGCTCGTGCGATTAAATTGCAATTCGTTAGCTTATCGGCAAGCTCAGAAGTGACTCCCATCAATAAAATAAATGACAAGCAAGAACCGCCGCCACCGAAGTTTCTCCAAGGGTGTCCTTGTTAAGCACATAAATGTTCTTTGGCCAACGACTAATTTACTTTGGGACATACCTTTTGAGATTTCAACAAACATTTCATGAAAACGAAATTGGGCACATTTCAGAATTTTGAAGCCGTCATTTTTTGAATATGCATTTGATACTAGATTATGGGCGTCTACATGAACAAGTTTGCTAATGTATTTAAGTGTCCTAAGATACAATTGGTACGTATCATATCGCATACAATTTTCGCAGCAGTATTTTGTATCTGTATCTCCAATCCTTTTTGTCTGAGTATCTAGTAGCGTATCGCGATACAAGTTCAAAGTATCTTTATCTTGTCTTGTCGCCTAGAAGATCTTGGCTCATACCCACAAGGGAGATTGGCCACACTGTACCTTTTAATGTAAATTTTTATACAATGCTTGCTAAAAGGGAGAACAATCAGGTAAGAAGAGATAAGAACAATAATAACGCTCGTTTTAAAAAAAGGTTAAAAGGGCAAAACAATTGGATAAACCAGAACATATAAAACACCAATGTAGATGACGACAGTGACGATGTGGCCCTGACGTGCAGTAGAAGATTTTTATTGAATTAAGGCGGGTTTGACTCAATGTAATTAGCATAATAAATTATTCTAACTATTCTAAATTCATTAGTGACAAAGTTTTATGCGATCACTTTTACTGATAAATTATTCATTTGTTGGGCAACCCTCTCGAGTCGGTGTGAGCCACACATAGAGGCTATTACCATCATCACCATCGCTCTGTTTACCGATGCGATGAGCGGACTTGAGGGCCTTCCTCTACCTTGAGTCACAGGACCGGGACGGCCAAGATGGCGCTCGCTCGGTCGTCCCGGTAAGCAAGCCTGTGCGCTTCAAAAAGGAGCCCTTCTTCGACGTCCTCGCCACGCTCGTCGAGCCGAAGGGCCTGAAGACCTCCGGGCGCGAAGGCTGGCAGCAGGTGCACATCCCTTTCCGGTTCGAAACGCAGCACGTGCACCTCCTCCACTCTACGCAAGCGGACTCGAGTCAGGAGTGCAATGTGCAAGTGCACCTCCGGTTTGGTTCGCTGAATGCGAAGAGCGAGCAGGACGACCGCTACCCTTCCGATCTGGCTGTGGAGGTGAACGATCGGTTTGTTGCACTGCCAGAGCCGGTTACCTTCAAGATCACCGGTGGAGCGACTAAGCGGGTGCAGCTTCCGATCAACATCGTCTCATCGTGTTTCGTGAGCTCAACCGTGACTAACGTGCTTGGTGTGACCTGGCGACCCGTACGTGGCCATGAATTTGCCGTCGGCCTGTTCCTGGTTAAGAAGCGCAGTGTAGCGACGATTGTGAGCGCACTGCAACGGGAAAAGGCGCAGCGCGTGGCTCTGACGACAGCCATGGTCAAGAAGAAAATGGAGCGCCGAGCCAGTAGCGACGAAGTCGTTGTAACGAAGCTTCACGTCTCCCTCACGTGCCCCCTGAGCCGGACACGGATGAAAGTTCCGTGTCGCGCGCGATCGTGCAAGCACCTGGACTGCTTCGACGCGTTCAATTATCTGCAGGTCAATGAGTGGAGGCCCGCTTGGCTTTGTCCCGTGTGCGGCAATCGGGCCGCCTTGTCGTCGTTGGTCGTCGACCAGCTGTTCGTGGACATCATTGCTAGCGTTCCCGATGACTGCGAAAGCGTCATTTTCCGCGAAGACGGGTCCTGGACTCCATCGACGTCGCAGAGAGGACTCCGAGAATGGCACCACGAATTCCGTGACGCTGTCTTCGTCAACGGCTTGCCACTTCAGCACCACTTTCGGAGCCCTCGTCCATCGAGCTGGTCGGGCGGCCCAGCAAGCGGCCTAGGCTTGAGGTCATTGAACTGACCGACTCCAGTAGCGATGACGAGCGGGACACTCATCGTCGAGTGTAGCGTCGCCTAAAGCTTGTGCGAAATACTCGATAAGTATCGCCTTGGGCCTGGTTTCATATAGGTACCTACCCGCGAACTGGTTAATAAGTCCTGTCTTCCTTGCATCGTTCTAGACTAATCATGGGGTGTCAACTAAAAGGATTTCCTAAGTATACGCAACTGGAGAGATTGTCAAGTGGTTGAAGTAGCAACTAGTGTGACATCTAACGTCGAATTATTATCTATGAATGGGCAGACGGAACGCATTGCCTTCTAACTCAATTTTGTTGTATAGCGCCGACTCCAACAAATCGCAAGAACATTGTCGTGACTTATCGTCTACGATTCATTCGCATATTTTCTCAACGGAAAAAAATTAATATAAGTTCCTGGCAACCACTTTTATAAACAAGAAATTTCTCACCACACGCGCAGTGCAGTGCATTGCTTTTGTTTACCTCTAGGCTCTACGCAGTCTTTATTCTATTGATTTCATCATGTATGGTGTTCAAAGCACTTCAAAACTTTTCTACAAAGTTGCAAATCATTTTCAACTTTGTTGAAAAAAGCTAAAATAAGATGTTGGCTGTAACCTCACATATTGTATGATACCCTGCTGCTATTACGCAAAAACAAAGCAAATCAAAAGCATAGAAAATAAGTCTTTCACCTCTCATAAGCCGGAAAGTTCTAAAGTATTTGAATCTCTGCCCAATTTTCGAGGGACCGTTTGCAAGGTTGAAATGTTGAAAAGAGAAAATGTAGCCAGGAATTTAGAAAAAAGGTTGGCAAAATGTAGCCAACGTAAACCAAAGGCAATGAATGTTTACAAAAGTAGCCACGCTTGTGTGAAAACAAGTACGACGTTTTTGTTTGACAAAATGCTACACTCTTTCATTGTAAATATAAGCAAGTACAGCAAGAAACCTTCAAAATCCTAATTTTGGGAATAAATCATAAGTTCTAAGGTGTTAAAATGGGAAAATTTAAAACCAAATTGACTATGTATTGTATAGGGGTCATACTAAACCAAATCGAAATACGCGCCGAATACGGTTGCAGCAGTTTTCGCATTGTAAGGCAAGCATTTTCAATTTTCAAGACGCGTCTAGAATTCTGCAACTCTTTATTTCAAACAAATATTGCCAAACTTTAGCATAGTGACATTACCGTTATGTTTAACCAGTGAAAATAGCACAATTAAGCTGGTGTGCAATAATGAGCAGAGCCATAAAGTTTTTTTTTTTTTTGTAGAATGAACACAGCAGTGACTTAGGTACTCGAGACGGTGGTTAATCACCAGCTTTTAAATTTTACTAAGACCTAAAAGTGAGAAAATATACAATAAAGGAACATTATTATTCACACCATAATAATAGCGGATCAACGAGAAATTCGTTTCGGCGAAACTTATATTGAACACTGCATTGCATCGATCATGAGAAATTCATTTTGATCATTATTTGGGAACATTGTATAGTAATACTGCCTTATAATTATGTGTACCAAATTTTTACGTTTATTTACCTGAATAATTGAAGATACAGGTTTGTGCTAAATATGGCACACCGTGTGATCGGTGAGCGATGGGGCTGCCGTGGTTTGCAATAAAGTCACGTAATTGTGACGATACAACAAGCTTTCACGAAGTGCAAAGTGTTGGACTTGACGACGAAGGGTTCTTGAACGTAGGGTGCGGCCGTGCGCGGAGAGCCCGAACTGTGAACGTTGCCACGTATGTGAAACAGTGGAGCATACATTTTGTAATTGCCTTCTTTACGTGTCGCAACTAAAAACACTCGCTTCAACGCTGGCAGGAATAGGTGCGGCACTGCCTATTGAAAGTGTCATTTTATCAGCATGTGTAATCAGACAACATCGGAAACTGCTACGAGGGCTGCGATAGGCTTCCTAAAACGTACAGGACTGTAAACTAGTCCATAGCAAAGTCCCAGTGCTGCCTGGTTATCGTATATACGCATAACTTGGTTGGTTGGTTGGTTCCTCGGCACCTTGGCGCAACCCACCTAGGGGGATAGGCCATGAATGGGACGGTGCCTTGCTTTTCAAATTAATTCACTTCTTGAAAGGGAGGGTAGATTAATTAGGTAATATAGGTAATAAACTTGTTTCTGTCCCCATCGTCCTCCTTCATCACTTTTTTTTTCACCCTGTTGCTCTTCCCTTGCGCAGGGTAGCTAGCAGGTTTGAGTGAACTAGCTCAGGCCGACCTCGCTGCCTTCGAATAAATCATCTCTCTCTCTCTCTCTGAATGGAATTTTTTTTAAATAGCCTGATGAGTGGAATAAAACGGAGCAACTTGTTCGTGTGTTTTGGCATAATTAATCACGTTATGTGTGGTTTCACGTCCCCAAACTACAATATGATTCTGAAAGGTGCCGTAGTTAAGGGATCCGGAAATTTTAACCATCTGGTGTTATGTGCACTGACATTGCAGAGTACACGGGCATTTACCACTTCGTCTCCATCAAAATGCTGCTGCCGCAGCTGGATTCGAGCCCACGACCTTCGAGTCAGCATCATGGCATCGTAGCCACTGATCCACTGTGGCAGACATTAAACATGATTTTAGCGCATCTTACCGTCGACATATATGTGCACGATGGCTGCTTACGCCTTTCCCTGCTCGCCTGGTGCTTCATCGCTATACTTTCCTATGCGTATTACCAACCACTGACTTGTGGTTGGCCGAGTCAGTTATCGAAAAAATTGAAAAGGAATCGATAAAAACCCAACTTGCATTGGTTAGAACCAAGTCAATCAATGAATTTATTAAAAGCTATTGGGGAGTTCAAGTTACTAGCAGCCACTAGTGTAGGGGACGCCCGAGTCGGGGCGGAAACTTGGTGGCGTTTCAACACTTCTTTGGCCCGCTGGACTGCTATTAGTTGGTGGTGGAGCTCGGGGCGCCAGTGTGGATCTTCACGGCAGAGTCAGAGGCTCCTGATGTAATGCGAGACTTTGCCAGAGCATGCAAGAGAGTAAGCAGTACACTTCCGTGCAGTCAAGGCATTGTGAATTTATGTCCGAGTTGTAACGTCTGATTCGACCTCGTGATGGGTACGATCTCGCTTTACAGTGAACGCTGTTATGAGATCGCAACTCGGGTCATGCGCAGTTGTCCGCCGCCGTCACCGCCGCTGGTGTCCGTTACTTAGCACCAATGACACAGTGGGGCTTGAACCCAGGTCCGCTGAGTGCAAGCCCAGTACTTTAGCACTGAGCTACGCCGGTGCTTGTAACTTCTTGGCAAACTTGCCTTAGGCAGGCTTGATGTCGGGAAAGCAATCGCGTTAATAAGACTTATAAAGCATTTTAAAAAAGCGAAAGAACAACCAGTCGTCGCACAGTGCGAATAACGTCACGAGTGTGCCGTCCGATGCTCCAACCCGATACAAAAGCTTGTTCTTGTTCCCCTATTTTTTGTTTGTTTGTTTGTTTGTTTGTCCCTGTTATCCTGGCGCAACCCATCATGGGGTATTGGCCATGAAACGAACGGTGGCTTGCTATTTAAAAAAAATGTTCATATTTCGAAATGTTAAATTTTTAATGAATATGCTTGATTTTGATAACTTTATTAACAATAAACTTAGCATTCAATTCCTTTCGTCTCCCAAAGGACTGTGGCGCTTACCCACTTCAGCCATAATTCTTCGTCGTCGTCAGCCACTGCATGAACAAATAAAAATTCCTTACAAGCCCTCACCAGATACCACGCTTCTCAGAATAATGACGAAAAATCGCAAAGCGAATGCCGGCTAACTACCCAAAAATATTATTAATAATGCCCTAGAGGGTATCAAGCAAGTGTGCTTGCCGTAGTTATCCTATGAGTGTTTTGAAAAGGCTGTGAAAGGCCGCTCTTCTAGCTTTCGCTATGACTGTGCTGTGCCTTCTGCGCAGGCCTGGCGTGTTATTTTTTTATATATATATAGCACGTGAAAGGCTACCTCTGGCGTGCGTTCGAGCTTTGTATGTGGTAAAAGGTATTGACTACTGTCGCTTCGGTAATGATAGGTGACTTCGTGTAAGGTCGGTTAAGAGTCAATAAACTGTCTTGGCTCAGCTCTTTGGTGGCTGGTTGATCGTCACGGCAGTTCAGTTCTGCGAGCGTGCTAATCTCTATGCGATGCTAGAGCGAAGTTAAAATAATGCACCAATTCAATAGCATATTCCGACGCTACTGGGTTCCTACATGGTTCAATTAGTGCGGCCCATAGAGTTTCATTCAGAAACTCTATGGTGTGGCCCTACCACTGCCTTCTTACGGTATTCCTGTTTGTGGGCTTGAGCCATTGTACAGGTATCACCATCATCAGCCACAGCACCATGCGAACGCCTTGACCTCATATCTCTAGGCCCCGTTGCAGCGATTGTCACGATCACAAGGGCCAGCGATTCGTTTAACATTGAGCGCAACGAGTGCTCAAACCATGAAGCGATCGCAGTCTGGTGCCAGGGAAACGGCACAGGATGACCGCTCGCGACGCCATAATGACGACCAGAAAAGAATTTCCGATCAATTTCCAGAACCCTCGACGAACGTGACTAGGCGATCTTTCGCTCAGAGAGGTACAATACGACCTGAATACTCACCCGACGAAGCAATCAACACGAGACATACGTCGGCTGAGACTTCTCGGGCGCTGCACTCCATCCATCGACTGGAGGAACCAAGGCATCCCCGATACGCACGACACAAGTTCACGTCTAGCATGGCCTCGTCACCACCGGCTCGCCCTTGTCCCTCCAACGTGACTGAGGAGATCATCGTATGGTCTGGCACCGCAAAGCATCGCTTGACTTCACCGGAGAACAAAGTACGTCGTCGTTCATATGAGAAGACAAAGCAGGCTACTGCGCCTGCTGCACCTGAGGACCTCGAACACTACCTTGAGGACGTCTACGATGAGTCGCAATCACGTAAGCTGCCAAAGCAAGAGACGCCCGGGAGGCTTTCACTGGCGTCTGAGAAGCGCGGAAGGTACAATGGTTCACACCTAGTGCCTGGGACCGGGTGTCTGGGACAACAAGAAGTTGCAGCCGCTTGCGTGTACGAGCAGTCAAGACACAAGGATTCTTCGCAGATGCAAGCGCCGCTACTCACAGGAGCTCAGGCAGTAAGCATAACCAGCAAATCACCGACCACGTTGGATCACTTTCGAACTCGACGCCGACCTGCAGCGACCTCGCGATTGTCAGTGGGACCACCTCGAGACGCCAAGGACCGCGCATCTTCAGCTGCGGCGTTTATCTTTCCCGGCACTCTGCAAGGCGATGGCAAAACGAGCGCTGTTAAGGCAATGGGAGACGTGGTATGCTACACGGCACGTAGTTCCAAAATACAAATGGAGTCCACGACGACCTCGAGCCGTTCCAGGCGTCGTAGCTCTTCAGCAACACTTAGCTCCCAAGATCTGTCCTCGCAACACTTCCCCTTGGTTCGTATGAAGAACAAGCCCCCTCCGCAGACTTCGTCGAGCATACCGCCGAGTAGTTCATCGAGCGTACTGCCTAGCGTACTGCCGAGCGTACTGCCCAGTAGTTCATCTATGGAGGAAATTCACAAGCCCCAAAGATCGACGCCACCGAGCGTAGTCGTGGATAGATCTACACCCTCACTGACCGGAGGTCTGGAAGACCGGCGCTACGTACCCTCTACCGATGACGACAGGCGACAGCTGGAGGTAAAGTACCGGTCTGTTTACGAACCCTTTGAACAGTACCGTACATTGACTGATTAGAGGAAATATACAGGGCTTTTTTGAACGGCGCGTTTTCATAGAGGTACCAATCGACTTAGCGTCAAAGAATGGGCGTGATGGTCAAAACTTGATGCTTGGGATGGTATGGGAACAATAATTGGTCAGTTACCGCGTGCTAATAAATATAATCACGTACTGCCTGACGCTAAACAAGTTAGAGAGGTTGTTACACACTCACCACAATGGCAACAGGTGGCGTGGACTGACACTCACGTGGTTAAATACACTTATACAAAATGTTAAGTCGACGGTGGACGAACGCCACCATAGCTGAATAGTAGAGCATAGAACGTATTACTTAAAGGTCACAAATTCGGATCCTGTTAGTGACAAGTTCTTCTTTCGTCCACTTTTTTTTCTTCACACTTACATTACAATAATTTTTAATAGCATCCCCTATACATTCCCTGGCATTACTGTCTGCTTTTTCTCATTAAGTGTGGAGGGTTGGGCGGGGAGTGGAAGCAGGATGACGACGATCTCTCGGACTGCTCTAGGCAGCTGCACACTTCCATGCTTCGATGACTTTTCTGTCCCAGCTCACCATCCGGAGATATAACCCCGGATGCGAGCTGCGCAGAGCAACCTGCCATTATTTCTCGTGTTCTGACCTTTGCCACGGGGGATCGGGTTTGTTTGGGCAATTCTGAAGCTGTGCCTCTCTACCTTCAAGTCTTCCCCCTCTGTTGAAAAAAAATCACAGCATATCTTCGGAGTGAAATGATGAGTGGGGCGAAGCGTCCGTCAGCCTGTCCATGCTTCCGTCCGTCCGTGTGTCCGTGCGTCCGTCCACACATCCGTCCGTGAGTCCGTACATCCCTCTGTACGTCCGTGCGTCCATCCATCCATCCATCCGTCCATATGCTAGTCTGTCTGTCCGTTCATCCGTCCGTCCATGCGTCCATCTGGGGAACCCTCCGAGTACCACCATCTCCCATCTCTCAACCCCTGTGGAACATACCCACTCTAGAGCGGGTATGTCCCACCGGTGGCTACATACATACATACATACATACATACATACATACATACATACATACATACATACATACATACATACATACATACATACATACATACATACATACATACATACATACATACATACATACATACATACATACATACATACATACATACATACATCTCTTTCAAGCCGAGGAAGGGCCTTCAGAAAGGCTGACAGAGGAGCCAACGGACGCGTTCACCGAATACTCATGCACAACTGCAGCGCCACAACTTAAATTTTGCCCTCTGTGTGGTACACGAAGGGGCCTTTGACAATTGAAGGCAAAATGACATTGGTTTCTTTGCAATCATACATGCAAGACACAATTCGTTTCCATAAATAAAACCACAAAACTTGAATAGAAACCACGTGCTGTATGATAACACTCCTCTGAAATATAGAAAGACGCGTTGCCGGTGAAAAATTAAGTCGCAGATGCTTTGCACATCGCCCAATGGCTTCAATTGTTGTAGAATGACCCTTCTCTCTCACTGTGTGTTCCCCGCTTTCATATAAAATATAGATTCATCTAGCAACTCACAAGTGCATTCTAAAATCACCATGGCAGAACACGGATATTATGGACACCAGAAGAACACCAGTGAATGCAATGCTGCACCAAAAAAAACAAATTTGTCTAGGTAAACATGGTCACGATCCAGCCGTGGTCTACTTCGGAAGAACACAGAGATAATAATTATCGCACTCCGAACTTATATTACAGCAATTCTTAAACATAACCCGACTCGACATACAAGCGCGTGGTGTTTGATACAGCTTCGCAGCACATTACCGTTCTTAAGGCAGGATTGCGGCCAATTGTGGCAGTCGAAATGAAGCGAGCCGATATTTTGTGCATATGTGTGTGTGTGTGTGTGTGTGTGTGTGTGTGTGTGTGTCTGTGTGTGTGTGTGTGCGTGCGTGTGCGTGTGCGTGTGCGTGTGTGTGTGTGTGTGTGTGTGTGTGTGCGTGCGTGCGTGCGCGTGCCTGTGTGTGTGTGTGTGTGTGTGTGTGTGTGTGTGTGTGTGTGTGTGTGTGTGTGTGTGTGTGTGTGTGTGTGTGTGTGTGTGTGTGCGCGCGTTTGGGTGCGTTTGTGTGGGACGAAGTAACTCGTACTGAACAACCCGAAACAAAATGGTCAGAAACTTGTTTTAAGGCGTGGTTTAGTTGGCGACTGTGTGACATGTCGTGCGTCATAAATTCTGCATCAATATCTCTACTCTAAAAACTTTTGTAACGTATCGACATCATAGAATAAGGTATGTGTACCTTGCCCGTGGTATTAAATGCAAAGCCCATAAAGCCTTCTTAAGAGTTCACTGTTGGGCCAGTTAGTGCATCCCTTTGAAATCATTGAGCAATTTAACACACTGAACAGTAGCACCTGTCCACAAGGTTTCTTCCTGTGTTGCGTTATGTCACTCAACGACTTCGCCAAGCCTTTCTTGCTAATTCAAGGACCAGTAAACTGTTCGGGGGGTGGGGGTAGCTATCTTTGTCACCCCTAAAACAACTTCATTCTTTTTCAGGTCTTTGTAGACATCACGAGGAGGCATCGCGCTGCAATGGCGGAACCAACTTTGGCAACGTCGAGCCGCAGTGACAGTTGGCCAGCTTCTTTCATTGAGCACATCTCTGCCGCGGTGAGAATTCGTCGCGGTGGAGTTACCTCACCCAGAGGGCCATCGAAGCAAAGCGACGACTCTCAGTCTACCGAGAAACGAAAAATGTCCTTCGCAGGACACCCGGTGGATTTTAGCCGCTTCTTGCCCGAGTCAGAAGAAGCTCTTCCCTACACCGAACTGCTACATTACCCTAAACGCCGTTCAGAGGAAGCCCCAAAAGCATTCAAAGAGAGGCTGCCCTCCGAACCGGAAGTGGACCTTGGGCGCTTCCTTTTTTCCTCCAAGGAAGCACTTCCCTACACCGAACTCTTCGATTATCCGAAACCTCCTCCGGAGAAAGCTCCCGAATCAGCAGAAAATAAAAAAGATTCTGATCCTAAAGTGGACCTTGAAAAATTCATGCCTCACTCTAAAGAAGCTCTTGCTTACACCGGAATTACTGCAGTACCCCGAACGTCGTCCGGAGAAAGCTCCCAAAGCTGGCTATGAAGGAAATGGAATCTCATTCTGACGTAGACTTTGAGCGTTTCATGCCTCACTCCAAAGAAGTGCTCGCTTACACTGAGCTGCTCGAATACCCAAAACGTGGATCGAAGATTAAGGCTCTTTCAGGAAAGAAGCCCAGTCCGCCGACGTCCCGTCGCACTAGCCTTGCGCAAACCATAGGGCCAGCGAAGCGAGAGACTACACCTCCGCAGCCTCAGTCTCGCATCCCTGATCACCCAGTTGCCAGCAAGCCGGCTGGACCTCCACCACGACCACCACCACCTACTTCAAGAGGCCAGAAAATAGTTTCCCTTAGGCCATATGTGGCTAGTTTTCAAGGAGCCGACAAGGGTGGTGAAGAAGCAGATACCACTCCTGACTTACCGCCCGCGTCTGCATTAACGGTGTCGATGAAGCCGCCACCAGACGACAGTCATGGCTTTATCCGGCCTTTTTACATGACAGTACAAGGCAATTTAGATGAACAGCAGCCTGCCCATGAACGACCCAAAAAAGCACCAGTGGAGCCACCAAGGCAATTGGTAGAAAGGCCACCCGAGAATCCACTCGTGAAGAGAATAGAGAAACTACCAGAAAAACCTCCGGTCCCAGAAACCAGAACAGCTTCCGGTGTTCGTCGACGCTTACCATTAAAACTTCGGCCGTTCAGGGGTGCCGTACATGACACCAACGAAACGACATCACGAGCAAAGCCTTTGATCACCGAAAAAAAGGTCGCCCCACCCGTGGCGAGGACAGCCGCGGGTGCCCCAGCTACTAGATCATTTGCTATGAACGTCAAGAGTGCATCAGGTGGACTCGGCCCTCGGCGAGTGTCCGCTACGAGGGTACGGGCCACCTCCCGGGGTCCTGCGAAAACAGCACCGATACACATACACGACTCGTCCATCAATATAACTAGAAATCTATCTGACACATCGAAACTTGCAACTCCTTCAAAGCCTTTTCCACCAGTCCCTCCAGGCACGCGCATTATATCAATGTCGAGCGGGCCTGAAAACTTCCGAGAGACGATGCTTTGGGACTTCAGCCCCACGCCACCAATGAAGGTGCCTCAGCTTCACTCGAAGCGAGTCTCCATCACGCCGACTGAGACTCCGAAAATAGGAACAATTGTCGCGTCGAAATCATTGCCAAAGGATACTCCTGAAGTCACTAAACCAGCAGGTGTCAAACTTTACCAAGCTAAAGGCTCTACGACCACGACAACCCCTACACTTTCGACGGTGGCACCGCCAGTAAAAACACAAGCTGAACCAGCAAAGATAGGCACGAAAACGACTCCTGCACCAGAACAAGGGAAGGCTGGAAAGGAACAGCAGAAAGCAGCGGACAACAAAACCGCAATCTCTGCTCCATCAACCGCAAGAGCTTCAAAGGACACAGTTGCTGTCCCGGTGAGACCACCAACGCGCACTGAAGTGAGCCCTAAGAAAGACGAAAAGCAAGCATCCGCGCCTCAGCGAGGAAAGCCTTCCGAGGAGGCGGTTACCGAAAAAGTACCTTCCGTTACATCAGCTGCTAAGGCTTCAAAGGAAACGACTCTACCTCCAGCGAAGAGGGCTGGACATGCTGAAGCGAACACTGCTAAGGCTGGCCGACCCACCTCCACTTCCTCTACCCGGAAAGACTCAAAGGAGGCCGCTGCACCTGTTAAAACGGCAGTGCATGCTACAGCTAGCACTGCTAAAACTGAGGAGCCGCTATCCACCTCAACAGTGGCTCAAAAAACACCATCAACCTCTTCCGCCGCCACGAAGGATGCGCTCAAACCAGCGGTACACGTTGCACCAAACTCCTCGACGGCTGAAAAAGCTGCTTCAGAGGTCCATTCCGCTAAATCTTCGGCACCAGCAATTACAGGGAGCGTTGTTCCGCCGAGCATACTTAAGGACGCCAGTGCAACAGTTCTCAAGTCACAACAGCAACCCGAACATAGCGCGGCGAAAGACATCGACAAGCCACTATTCGCCTCATCTTCAGCGAAGCATCCTCAAGAGGCGGTTCCCAAGCCGGCCACAACAACAGCTACACCAGATCACACAACAGCGGCTACAGGAGCGATCACAGCAGCCTCAGTGGTACCCGCTCCGGCGGCGACCACTGCAGCCACCTCTGAAAAAAGCCAACTTGAATCTAGTGCCAACATGCCGTTGAGCGAGGTAGTCTTGGCGCACGCGAAGGTTGAACCACCGAAACCGGCAACTGCAGCTACGCCCGCCAAAGCACCGCTAGTGAAATCTATTTTACATAAGCCTCCGTCGCAAGAAATCGTTCCGAGACGACATTCGGTAGTCACGATAGCCCCACAGACTACTCCACAGGAGCACGATAATGCCATCAGGGATGCCAAGATAGCTTCCAACGTCAAGCCGTCTGACAGAAAAAGGCGCCCGTCTTCATCGCAAATTGCCATTCGTGCGGTTGTGCGCACCACCACTCAAGGAGAGTCAAAAGCTCTTGTCCCGAGGCCAGCAGCAACACCTGCAAAGCGACTTTCTGCTGACGCCGAGACTGGCATGAAGCTAGAGGTCAAACCGGCGCCCGAGACTAAGGCTCCCCTGTCAGCCCAACCACCGATTCCATGTCGTCCCTACAAAGCATGCATCCAAGGGACAGGCACCAATGAACTTCCGAAAGAACCACAAAGGAGGTGCATCCACTTCGTGTTCCTGATTCGAAGGCTCTTATTCCGTTACACGTGAAAAAATTCCCTGTGGTACCAGTTGAACAGCCCCGCGCGCCTCCTGAAGAACCTAGACCACCCCCACCAGCTAACAAAGAACCTCCGAAACCACCACATAAACCATGTAAGCCTCCCCCACAACCTAAGGAAGAATTACCTCCAAAGCCACCGCCTGAAGTACCTGAAAAAGAGCCAGGTTTCGCATCCAGTGAGAAATTTCAGAGCGATGGTAAAGAGTGCAAGAAAGCGCAAGGCTCAAGGCAGGCATAAGTGCGCCAAGCACAAGGACGAAACGTCGTCGCAATACGAGCGAAGAAAAAGCAAGGTGATAGCCAAGCGTAAGGCGAAAGCTGAAGGCGGATGCATTGAAAAAAGCCGAGAAGGAATCACTTGAGATAAAGTTGCTGCGAGAAAAACTAAATAAAACGCACAAGTGCCGATGTGCGCGAAAGGTGAAGCAGGAACAGAGTGAGAGCACAGCCCAAGGGGATGACCAAAAGTCCGATATGACCAACAGAAGGAAGAAAGGTGACAAGAATACCGTTATGCATCGAGTACCATCCGAGAATTATGCTGAGAGGAAAACGTCTCCGTTTATTCTGTGTTGTGTATGCCTGATTGCCCTGATTATTGTTGGTCTGCTGGCGGCTCTCATCTGGCACGAGAAAGAGGCCGTAACAACCACGACTGGCAGCACCCCGGTAACGCTTACTCCATCGTATACAAATATATACTATTGTTCCAGCGACGTCTGCAAAGCCGAAGCAGGGTACATTAAGTCGCTTCTCAGTGCCAACAAAAATCCCTGTGATAACTTTTACGAGTACGTTTGCGATGGATGGAATAAAATTCACCCGGTTCCGAGCATGGGAGCTGGTGGTGCCCAGTCCGTGGACACAATCCTGCAGGACAAACTTTTAATCAATCTGGAACCCCTGCTTTTAGGTGTTCCGGACCGGGACGTCAGGGTAGCTGCCGATCTTTACGAGAACTGCCTGAGACGAGACCAGGTCGGAAACGATGGCGACATCGTCATTGGAGTTGCGCGGCAATTTTTTCGCGACTGGGCAATCAAGGAGTGGCCGGTCCTCAAGCCCGACGCAATCACAACTTCGGTGGCGTGGACCTTTGCGGGAGAACTAGTGCGTGACCTCAACGTGGCCGCTTTGACGTCCGTAAGCATCGGTGTCAGCCTCAAGGCGCTAGAAAGGGTGTCGATCGAACTTGACAACCCTCGCCTCCTGTTCTCCTGTAACGACGCGTCTAGGCCTGTCGTGATGAATCTGTTCAGCGGCGCCCTCACGGAGCTGATGAGTAGGTTCTCTGCGTCGTCCAGCAAGAAGAACGTCGAAGAGGTCATGAGGGTGTTCGTGAGAGTAGGTTCGTCTCCCGCAATAGCAGCCAGACCGGACAGTGGTCCTCTGTCGTACACGCTGATCAAGCTCATTGACCTGGACCATGGTTACACGGCTGCTCCTCGAACGCGTATTCGGCGGCATAATCTCGATCGATGGCATGACCGAAGTGGTGGTCAAGTCTACAGACTACGTGCGTAACTACCTGACACAAGCCATGCAGGAACTGCCCGCGCACGCCGTGGCCAACTACTTGGGCTTCCTGGCGCTCGCCAAGATGGCGCCTTTCTTCCCGGAAAAGTTCGCGAGCTTGCGTCAAATCTTCGCCAAGGACTTACTCGACCGCACACTGCCCGACGTGTCGCAGACCAAGACGCTTTGCCTGCTGGCGGTGCAGCAGCTTCTGCCTAGATGCTTCTCCAAGGCGGCCACTCAGCTGCGCGGTATGTGGGGCGCCATGCTGCCCCTGTCCGACTGGCTCGCGAGATTGCAGTCTTCGTTTAGCCGACACCAAGATCTGGTGGCCTGGATAGACGAGCTGTCCGCGCTTATTGTGCGCTACCGTCTGAAGAGGAACCGCATGGTGTCTCTTTCTACTGGTTATTCGGAACCGTGCGCTCCGGCCCCGAGCGAGATACCTCGGCGAAGCGAGCACCCGCTCCGCTTCTTCCACCAGGTGTCCATGCTGCAGGAGCAGAAGCGCCTGCAGATGATTCTTAAGGACGGCCGCGACGTGCTTGCACAAAGCGGTGAGCCGCGCTCCGAGCTCATGACGGTTCCAGACTACGAGGTGATGCGGCAATTGGTGCACGTCTCCATGGTGCTGTTCAACACGTCTGTGCCGACCAACGCCACTCTGTTCTCATTCCACTTGTCCAGGTGAGCTCAGTGATAATCGCACGTAGAGACACGGCTTTTATGCTATATCACGCGAGACAAAGGATGCTACCCTTGTTTTTGCACATTCTGTGCGTCAAGGTGTTGCCGCTTTAGAGGGCTGTCACAAAGCAGTACGCAGGTACATCTTATAATCAGGTTGGGTTTAGAAGTTTTTAGAAGTAAATCTTAAATTATTGTCCAGCGCTAGCTTCATACCATGCGATGGCGCGTGATCACTGCAGACTCTAAGTGTACTCAGCCACTCGAGAGGGATATTAAACATTTTATTTATTTATAGAATACTGCGGACAAAAAGTCCAAGCAGGGTAAGCATACATGAAACACACTAAATAACAGTATGAAACAAGGTTGCAAAGCGTTTTCTACACAATTTCTTTGCATATAAGACAGAGGGGTTATGACTTTTTTTTAAAAGTAACAATTGAACAACAAGGTGATAATACAATTCTGAGGAAGTGATGGAAGAATAGTATTTACACGAATGGTCAAGGGCGTTGAGGAAATGATTCGGTTAGTTTTTCCAATCATCTATTGTTTGTGGGAAGAAGGAGTACCGAAAAGTATCAGTCCTTGCGAAGATTGTAGGGAATAAGGATAGTGGTGTCGAGTGGGTCTGCTTAACAAGGGGGATACGTATGCTGCGGTGTCTAAGGATAGCCTGTGGTTTACTATGTCTGAAAGAAACTGTAGCCGGCATTTTTTGCTTCGAATTTGTAATGGTTCTATACCATTTGCCGTTAGTAATGCAGTGGGGGAGTCGGTTGACATAAATTTACTATATATGAATCGTACTGCTTTTCTTTAAATTCTTTCTAGGTTTTGAACGTTAATTTTTGCGTGGGGATCCCAAACTATGGAGGCGTACTCAAGTTTAGGCCTGATTAAGGAAAAGTAGGAGAGGAGTTTAACACTAGGCGGAGCAGTCTTGAGCTTGTGGCGGAGAAGGCATAATTTACGAAAAGCGGCAGAGCAGATGTTATGTGCAAATTTCAGGATAAGGTACTTGTTAACGTTAAGCCTAAGTATTTATAGGAGGCTACTTTAAGTAAAGATGCTCAGCTAAATTGTATGTGTAGTCTAATGGGACTTTTTTGCGCGTTATGGGGAGATACACACATTTGCTTGCATTAAGAAGCATTCCCCATTGTTCACACCATTTTGATACATTGCCTAAGTTAGTATTAAGGTCACATTGGTCACTATTGCAGGTTACATCTGTAAACAAAACACAATCGTCAGCAAATAGACAAATTTGTACCGGGGTGCTAATTACAATGACAATGTCATTAATGTAGACCAGAAACAGAAGGCGGCCTAGTACGCTCCCCTGCGGAACGCCAGAAGTCACCGGAAGGCAGCTCGATTGTTTTTCTCCTACCTGAACATATTGGTTGCGATTGCGTAGATAAGCTGAGATCCAGGAGATAAATAATTCTGGTATGCCAACTAACCGAAGCTTTATAATTAGTTTATTGTGTGGAACTGTGTCGAATGCTTTACTGTAGTCTACGAATAATACATCAATTTGGCCGTTAGGATCAAGACAAGCTGCAAAGGTATGAACGATGGTAACCAATTGTGTTGTAGTAGAAAATCCTTTTTGAAACCCATGTTGATGATTTGTTAAAACTGAGCGTTTTTCTAAGAATTCATTTAATTTATGAGCAATTATGTGTTAGATAAGCTTACAGGTTGATGATGTTAAGGAGATCGGTCGATAATCTTGTAGTACTAGACAGTCACCTTTCTTGAATATAGGAACTATTCGTGCCGACTTCCAGTCATCTGGCAATTCCGCTGACAACAGAGAGACTCGAAAAATGACGAGTAAGTATTTTGCAACAGGCTCTACAAAGCGACGCAGAAATATGTTGGGGATATTGTCGGGACCGCAAGAAGTCTTAGTCTTTGAGTTCAACAACATAGCAACGACACCACAATAAGAAATAAAGTTTACATTTGCAGCATTGTCCGCATTTATGACAGATGGGGGAGCACTATGAGTATAAAATACACTACGAAAATACTCATTGAGGTGTTGAGCAATGGCAGCCTGATCAGATACCATTGAACCATTGACAAAAACCTGTGATATAGGGTTTCTTTTTTTCGCTGATGTAGTTCCAGAACTTCTTTGGATCATTCTTTATGAAGTTTGCGAGTGACGTATTGAAGTAGTATTTCTTCAAGGTGTGTACGGCATGTGCAAGCTTATCTAGAGCGTCAGCTATAACTTTGGGGTCAGCATGCTTTTTCCTTAATCTTTTAACTTTACGCTTGAGATGAATGATGCTTCTCGTCATCCAGGGCGTATGTTTATGCACCTTTTTACAATTAGACGGTATAAATTTTTCGATACAGTAGAAGCATATGCGTTTAAATTGGTCCCACAATCTACAAACATCGGTATCTACAAAATCTATCAGACAGGTTTCTACGTGCTCGATAATGCAAGCATCATTGGCATGTGTATAGTCTTTCACACAATGAAAGGACGAGTTGGTAGTTTCCGCTGCTGAAATAAACGCTGCTGAAATATTTTTTAATCTATTTCTGTTTATCATTTGAACAAACATTCACTGTTGTTGGACGAAATGAAGTCAGAGCGAGCCTTACTGAAATTTCACTTCTAAACTTAGCTCAGGGGTGACCATGTGACGTCGCATAATTTATATCATAGCATTTCTATAATAAAGCGATGCGATTTACCATAACCGGTAAATGTTTCGACTCCCGGATTCTGTAAATACCGACGTCATCACGG